TATTTAGAAGTATAGCTGTTATTGAAAATAACTAAATTGTTATTCCTGTCTAGTCTGGGAAGAAGGTCACATTCAAACCACATAAGCTCTAACTACTCCTCAGTTACTATTCATGTACTGCGAATGTTTGTTCTCCCTGAGAAATGTTTTCTTAGTTGCTGAGTGAAAAGCCCGTAGGTCACACAGAGGCTGTGGATGGAGCCCAGTGCCCAGTGTCCATCAAAGAGCCTACTAAGCTGCCCCCATTGCAGAGAGTAAAGGCAGCTTCTAGCAACCAGGCTGGCCTGCTCAGCTGCATGGGACTCCCAGCATGTTCCAGGTGTGGCAGCTGCTATGGAAGCCACAGTGCTGGAGGAACAAAAACTCTTCATGTAGGCCTGGTGCAGTGGCTCATGCCTGTAATCCCAGCATTTTGGGAGGCCAAGTCTGGAGGATCCCTTGAGCCCAGGGGTTCAAGACCAGCCTAAGAAACATAGGGGGGACCCTCCCTGTTTCTACAAAAAATAAAAAAAAAATTAGCCAGGCGTGGTTACATGTACCTGTAGTCCCAGCTACTCAAGAAGCTGAGGTGGGAGGATGGCTTAAGCCCAGGAGGTCCAGGAGTTTGAGGCTACAGTGAGCTGTGATCACACCACTGCCCTCCAACCTGGGTGACAGAGCAAGACCCTGTCTCAAAAAAAACCACAACAAACAAACAAACAAACACCCCCCCTAAAACCACAACTCCTCATGCAAAACAAGCAAAAGTAGCAGGGGTGGCAGCAGTGTCTTGCCCAGCTCCCATCCTGTACCCCCAGGGGGAGCAGGGGGCTTCTCACCCATGGAGAAATTACTGCCTTCTTTGCTTTATTTTATTTAATTTATTTATTTTCACTGCTAATGTTCAGTTTTAGTTCCTTTTACGTCTCCAGTTCCCTTTAACAAAAACACTGATTAGAACTCAAGGAATCCGTGTGACCTGAGGTGAAGAGCGGTTCTCAGCCGGGGACAATCATCGGGCTCAGATCCGGGAAGCAGCGGTGGCTCCGGGTCACAGGAGCCCGAGGCAGCCCAGCCATCTGGGCCCTCAGCCACTTCCTGGCGCCGCCCGGCGGCACCCCAGGCCAGGCCAAACAGTCACCTTGACCGGGCTGCTGGGGCATCTCACCCACGCACTGTACCTCCCCCTTCCCACTCCCTTCCTGGCAGGCAGCTGTTCAGCTCCAACAGGGGCCTATCTTAACAACGAGGCATCTTAGAAGGGTCCTTATTGCTGGTCTAATTTCAAACAGGCACCACAATGAAGAACTGTCTTAGTGTGGGATTAATTTTAAAACCTCAGGATTTGATGTCAGTGGGAAAGAACCAGTGTGGGGCTCAAGCTGCTGCCTTCTCCTGCTTCTGGCCAGCCCGGGGGCTCATTTCTTAGGAGGTGAAAACTCTGACAAGCCCTTCAGTCAAGCTGAAAGCAGGCAGCCATCCAGCCACAGCCACAGGCCTCCCGGGCATCCTGTGACCCCTCCGAAAAGTCACATTCACTTTGCTCTTGAGAAAGGAAAAATCATGCTGGAGGCATTTTATTTGAAACCATGTGAAATAAGGAAATGTGAAGATGCGAAAATGAAGTGAAAAAAAAAAAAAAGTTAGAATTCATTTCCGTCCTTGCAATGGCTTAGAAGCCAAACTGGTTCATTTCGAAAGCGTGTAAAAATCTGATCCATTCACCAGTAGGCAGAGACTACAAAATGCTTAAGGTAAAATATGTAAATATGTAAAATTATCTGTTGAAAACCATCTCCTTTTGTGCATGAAAGAATTTTTTAAAGCATCTTTATTTCTATTCTGCATTAATATACTATTGAGCAGAAAAGTTTCTTTTTGGCAAAACAACAAAAAACCAAGGTGCTACGAAATTTAGTGATTCTGAAATGAAGTCCACAGGAAAAAGAGAAGGACAAAAAGGATTTCTATCGTATCGTGCACTCATATGGCATTTTTCTGTGATAATTTAAAGGATATTATTAATATAACAAATTATAGAATTCATTTTTTAAAAGCACTGTTCACCTGAAAACTTGAAATAAACCCCACCTTCAGGCCTCTGCTACTGTCTCTTTTGGAAGTGGGGTCCCTCTTCTCCCTGGGTGTCCTCTGCCTCACCTGACCCAGCCCCACCCATCCTTGATAGATCCGGGGACCTCCCAGCAGCGTGTTTGCACCCATACCTTAAATAATTGGCCACAAACAGTTTATCTTATTTCAAAATATTTCCAAATTAATTTTTTTTTGAAATATGAAAAAGAATGGCAGGATATTTGCCCGTAGCTATATAGTTACCCTTCATTCTGTTGGATTTGAATACATTGTATTGCAACAAACATGGTTTCATCACACAACTTGCAACTTCCAGAAACAGATGGGTTGGTTGTTGTTGGTTTTTTTTTCCCTTTCCCCAATCCCATTTCTTCTGGAGGGGGTCCAACCAATGAATGTTTTGTCTCATAAGAGAATACCTCATAGGTAAATTGCTGTCATTTCTTGTTCCCTCCCGGTGGGGAACTATCCCTGGGGACTGGGCCTCCAGCCCCACTGACCAGGGATGGAGGGACGAGCTTCAGATTGGGAAGGGGTGTGCCTGAAACCATATCCACTGAGCTCACAAGCCAGGTGAACAAAACGCTCAGATCCTGGAGGGGAAGATAGTGTCTGCCTTTGGCCCAGTACGTGTGACAGCCGCATTGTTTGGTGAAGGTGAAAGTGCTTAAAAATACTCAGGAGGCTGAGGCAGGAGAATTGCTTGAACCCGGGAGGTGGAGGTTGCGGTGACCCGAGATTGCGCCATTGCACTCCAGCCTGGGTAACAAGAGCGAAACTCCGTCTCCAAAAAAAAAAAAAAAATGAAAAAATTCTTCATTTTGCAAACCCTTGGGTATTTTCTGAAAGATCAGACAATGAAAAGTAGAAAGCTTTCTCCAAAACAGTTTTCAAATCTGCTTATTCTACTAGACAGTGTCGTGTTCCTGGCCCTTGTTTCTATGCTTTCTTTTGTTTGAGTCTCTTACTGTCTCAAAAAGGTTATCAAAAAAAATTAAACACACACACACACACACACACAAGATTGTGTCCAGAAAGCTTTCCAAGGGCTGGGTGCGGTGGCTCACATCTGTAATCCCAGCACTTTGGGAGGCTGAGGCAGGAGAATTGCTTGAGCCTGGGAGATGGAGGTTGCAGTGAGCCGAGATCGTGCCACTGAACTCCAGCCTGGGTAACAGAGTGAGATTCCATCTCAAAAACAACAACAACAAAAAATGGACAGGTTTCCCAGCTCATCCCCACAGAACCAGCCTCCCATATCCCTTCCTGTAGACCTAGGCAGACAGAGGCCGGCCCTAGAGAACCCAGGAAAGGTAATGTTAGAAACCTAAGAACTGGCAGGGTCAGGAAGACCTAGCCCGAGCAGCTAGAAGTATGGTCTAGTACGGGGAAATTTTGTTCGTCTTATGGTTTTTTTTTTTTTTTTTGCATTGGTTTTTATTTTTAAAATGTTGCATTAAAGTATTATCTATCTTATTACTGGATTATTGGGCACCTCCTTAAATGCTGCCCCCAGGCAAGTGCTTCAATGCCATCATCCTGGTCCTGGCCTTGCCCCGGGGAGGAGATGCCCATCATCTCCCCACCCCATCACCAGCCTCATCAGGCTCCAGCCTGGACCAGCTAACACGACTGTGGAAGAGATACGTCTCTCAACACCTCCCTGTCAGGGAGGAGGAGACAACTCCTTTTTTTTCTTTCTTTTTCTTTTCTTTTTTTTTTGAGAATGGGGCCTTGCTATATTGCCCAGGTGGGTCTCAAACTCCTGGGCTCAAGCTTTCCTTCTGCCTCTGCCTCCTAGAAACAACTTATTCACTGGCCACTGGCAAGCCAAGTTCATTGGAATCTCCCTCCTAAACCTTCACAAAGATTTAGGAAACATTAACAATAAAACTTTAACAAACCCGGGGGTGGGTGGGGGAGAGTTACTGAATTAAATTAGAGCTTTCCTCACACATCACGCTAAAGGTAAATTATTTTGTTTAAATACCATTGGAAACCACATTTAAAGTATGCATTGATTTTTCTTTCTCTCTCTCTCTCTCTCTCTCTCTCTCTCTCTCTCTCTCTCTCTCTCTCTATCTCTCGGAGATGAGGTCTCACTGTGGCACCCAGGCTGGAATGTAGTGGTGCAATCACAGCTGGCTGCAGCCTCCAACTCCTGGGTTCAAGAGATCGTCCCACTTCAGCCTCCTAAGCTGCTAGGACTACAGATGCACATCACCAACCCTAGCTAATTTTTTAAATTTTTGGTTAAGACAGGATCCTACTATGTTGCCCAGGCAGGTCTGGAACTCCTGGCCTCAAGCGATCCTCCCGCCTGGACCTCCCAAAGCTCTGGGATTACAGGTGTGAGCCACCACGCTGGCTGGTTTGCTGTCCTGATAAAGGCCTTGAAAATACAGGAGGAGATGTATTTTATTAGCATCATTATCACTAACTGGCACCACCGCTCACTGAGTGCCATGCATGGACTGAGAACTCTACAATACACATTGTTTTGCTTAGTTCCCAGCAATTGCAATGGCAAATTTGAGGTTTCGCAGAGATACACATGCTAGCTTCAGGGCTGAGCTGGGATGTGAAGTCAGATCAGACTCCAGAGCCCACATGCCATGGAGCCTTGGAGACAGGTTTGCTTTCACTCTGTTATCTTGCACAGGCGGAGCTCTGGGTAGGGATGTTGAGCCCAGGGCTGAGGCTTGGCCAGGCGGCTGCAATCGCAGATCCACCCTGTAAGCCTGAGGACCCTCAGCTTCCATGGGAAGGGGCAGACCTGCCCTGCTGTAACAGCCCTGGGCAGAGCAGGCATGCCCAGGACCACCCTCTACTTCCTCCGGATGGTGCCTTCAGTGCAGTCAGCGGAAGGACCACTGATTTTTCATTCTAGGTCCCCATGCAAAAATAATCAAGACTTCCTGTCTGAGCAGCAGGGTAAACAGATCTTCAGTTTAAGGGAGGAGGAGGGGTTGTGGGAAGAACCTCTGTTGTCCCAGCTGGAAACTTAAGCATCAGGAAATGCATTTCTGCGTGTTCCCAGCCTGCTGAAAAGTCAAGCACACTAAGGACAAGGCAATCCCCGATGCCCTGCCCCAATCTGGCTTTTCCCCTTCCCTGCCTGCTGCTCCAGGTTTTCTGGCTTTCTCATTCTCCTCTCTTTCTCCCAGGGCGAGCCCAGAGGGTGTTTGTTTAAAGAACCTTTCACTAGCATTCCTTCCCAGCCATTCTCTCAGCTTTTCACTTTGCATTATGCCCAGAGCCCTAGATGCAGTCTCCTTCCCCAGCCAGGCCGCTTTCAAAAACTAACCTCTGTTTTACATGGGGGAACTTTAACCCGTTTGCCTCCAAAAAAACCCTGTAACATTGCAGAGAACCCTAAAGCCTCCTTGAACCCCTAAAAATCCATGTCTACCCTCTTCAATTCCCCGATAGGTAAGCACTGAAGCACTGACTTTGTAAATTTTTTTCAGAAATGTTTCCTGTTTTTGCAACATATATTGACTTCATTAAAACGATGGTGTACATTTTTGTTTGTTTGTTTTTTTAAAGGAGTCTTGCTCTGTTGCCCAGGCTGGAGTGCAATGGCATGATCTCAGCTCACTACAGCCTCCGCCTCCCAAGTTCAAGTGATTCTCCTGCCTCATTCTCCAGAGTAGCTGAGACTACCGGTGCATGCCACCATGCCCAGCTAATTTTTGTATTTTTACTAGAGACAGGGTTCCATCATGTTAGCCTGCCTGGTCTCAAACTCCTGGCCTCAAGAGGTCTGCCCACCCTGGCCACCCAAATACCTGAGATTACAGGCATAAGCCATCACACCTGGCCAAGGCATGCAAATTGTTATTGATGAGTTTGGTTGTTTTTTTTACATATACACTGCTCTATAAATTATTTTTTTCATTCAACCATACCTCTTAAAGATCTATTTGCATGCACGCAGATCCAAGTCACTTTTTAAACATTTTTGTATAAAACCCCATGCTGTGAACTGCTTCAATCTACTGAGGCATTTTGATATTGATGGGCATTTAGGCTTCTGCTATTTCCAATGCTGCTTCAGAGATGCTTTCTTTGTGCACGTATACATTTCTCGAGGGTAGATAAGACAGAAGGGAAATTGCTGGGTTGCATGGTGTGCACATTTCTAGCTCTAAGGGCTTCCAAAGTGCTGCTGTCCTGATACATGGGGCACCAGCATCCTCTGGGAGCAGCACCCTTACAGGCCTGCTAGTGCCTATCAGACTTTTAAATTGCTGCCCTTTTGATGGGTGACAAGTGTTGCTTAATTTGTATTTCCCTTAAGACTTGGTATGGTAGAACATATTTTTTTTTGTAATACGTTTTACAAGTCCTTTTTCGCACCTCTTTTGTGAATTACCCATTTATAGTCTTTACCCTTAAAAAAAAAATTGAGTAATTTGTCTTTTAAAAAAACACCTTACGGAGCTATGATTAACATGTAAAAAGCTGTACATATTGATACATACAACTTGATGGGATACTTATACACAGCCTTGAAACCATCACCACTATCAAAGCCATGAATATATCCATCACCTTCCAAAGATTCTCCCATTCCCTTTATTTATTTATTTATCTATCTATCCATCCCTCCAACCAGCCAGCCATCCATCTACAGACAGGGTCTTTTTTTTGTCACCCAGGCTGGAGTGCAGTGGCACAATCACAGCTTATTTCAGCCTCAACTTCCTGGGCTCAATTGATCCTCCCACCTCGGCCTCCCAAGTACCTGGGACTACAGGCATGGATCCCCCAATCCTGGCTTTTTTTTCTTTTTTTTTTTTTAGAGATGGGTTTTGCCATGGTGCCCAGGCTGGCCTTGAACCCCTGGGCTCAAGTGATCCTCTCGCCTTGGCCTTCCAAAGTGCTGGGATTACAGGCATGAGGCACTATACCTGGCCTACCTCCCTTTATTATCATTATTGAGTGTGTGTGGTAAGAACACTTAACATAAGATCTACATGCTTAGGAAATTTTAGGTGTATAATACAGTAGTGTTAATGACAGGCATTAGGCTGTACATTAAATCTTTAAGAACTTAAGTTGCATAGCTGGAACTTTGTACCCCTTGACTGTCACCTCTCCATTTCCCTCTCTTCCTAGCCTTCAGCAACCACCATTCTACTTTCAGCTTCTACGCGTTTGACTATTTCAGATTCCATATAGAAGTGAGACCACGCAGTATTTGTGTCTCTGTATCTGGTTTATTTCACTTAGCATAACATCCTCCAGGTTCATCTGTGTTGTTGAAAATGACAGGATCTTTTTTTTTTTTTTTTTAATGATGGAGTCTTGCTCTGTTGCCCAGGCTGGAGTGCACTGGCATGACCTCAGCTCACTGCAACCTCTGCCTCCTGGGTTCAAGCGATTCTCCTGCCTTAGCCTCCTGAGTAGCTGGGACTACAGGTGCACGCCACCGCGCCCGGTGAATTTTTATATTTTTAGTAGAGATGGGTTTTCACCATGTTGGTCAGGACGGTCTCGATCTCTTGACCTCATGATCTGACGACCTCAACCTCCCAAAGTCCTGGGATTACATGCGCCACCGTGCCCGGCCAGGATCTCCTTTTTTAAGGCTGAATTGTATTCCATCATGTACATCTCAGATTTTCTTTATTCATTCGTCCATCAATGGACAGTCAGGTTGTTTCCATGTCTTGGCAATTGTGGATATAGTGCTGCACTGGACATGAGGGTGTAAGTGTCTTTTTGAGATACTCAGCCTTGCTGGATCCTATAGTTCTGTTTTTATTTGTTCCAGCAACCTTCACACTGTTTTCCATGACAGCTGCACTATTTACCATCCCCACCAACAGTGCACCAGTGTTCTCTTTTCTCCACATCCTCGTCAGCACTTGCCTTTTTTTTTTTTTTTTTTTTTTTTTTTTTTTTTTTTTTTTTTTTTTTAAATAATAGCCGTCCAGGCCAAGCACAGTGGCTCACACCTGTAATCCCAGCATTTTGGGAGGCTGAGGTGGGCAGATCACTTGAGGTCAGGAGTTCAAGACCAGCCTGGCCAACATGGTGAAGCCCTGTCTCTACTAAAAATACAAAACTTTGCCTGGCGTGGTGGCTCACATCTGTAATCCCAGCTACTTGGGAGGCTGAAGCAGGAGAATCACTTGAACGGGGAGGCGGAGGTTGCAGTGAGCCGAGATAACACCACTGAACTCCAGCCTGGGTGACAGAGTAAGACTCCATCTCAAAGTAATGATGATAATAATAACAGCCATCCTAACAGGTATGAGGAGATACCTCATTGTGTTTTTGATTTGCACTGCCTGATGATTAGTGATGTGTACTTTTTCATGCACATATTGTATGTCCAGTTTCTCTTTTCAGACCATCACTGCTTCCCTGCTTAGGCACAGACAGGCACCGGGGATGTGTGGGATCTCTAACCACCCAATTCACTTTGGAGGTAGGTGTAGGCCACAGCAGCTGTAGGCTATCCTGTGACTGCACAGAGCCGTGCAGCTGCAAATGGGCTGTTCTCCTTGCTGGCCTTGGCCCTGGATGTGATGCTCTGAGGGACTCCACCTGCAGAAGCCTCCTCAGGGAGTGCCTGCTTTACACAAGCCCTAAACAAGCACAATTGCCACTTCTTTAAGCCCACAACACTGACAGATGCCAACATCTGGTTCTAAGAGTTGCCCCAAACTTCCCACTGGGGCCCTGGGAAGAGTGGGATTTGAACTCAGATCAGCCTGTCTGCAGTGCACATAGCCCTGGCTGAGCTGAGCCAGGCTGCTCCCGGATGCTGAGGACCCTGTGGGTGAGTGTGGGCAGGGCCTGGCCTCAGCCCCCGGTACCCCTAGGCGACACCGATGCCTTCCTACGTAGTCTGCACCCTGGCTCATCCCTGAGCCTCTGGAGGCAGAGTACTGGGGAGCTGGGCTTCTCAGCGAGAGGGCCCCTCCCATTGCCCCCTCCTTGCAGCTCCCACCTCAGAGGATGCTGGGTAACAGGTGTACTCCCAGAGTGTCTCCCAACCCTCACCAGCTGAGAAAACCTCAGTGGGGGCCAGAGGCAGCCAGAGGCCATGCACCCTGGGTCCTCCTGCCCCAAGAGCCATGAGAGAGACAGAGAGAGACAGAGAGAGAGCATACGCATGCCATCAGAGACAGAGAGAGAGACAGAGAGAGAGTTGGAGAGTTGGGGGAGGAGTTCCTGCAGGTGAACAGATCACATTTTGGCCAAATTCCAATAAATTCTCACTTAATATTAACATTTAATGTTGAAAAATCCTAATGGTGACCTGATTCCCTCTTTTGAATTCCAGCCTTCTCAGATAACCTATCTCTCGAGGTGACAAGCTGGTGCCACCTGAATTCATTACTGCCTGATTAATTATGCTGCCTTTGTACTAGGGAAACAGGGACTTCAATCAGCTGCAGCCACCATCCCCTGGCCGTCGCCTCAACAGGCCGGCCGCTGCCAGGGAGCCTGGCCCCTCGCCCAGCTCCGGGGTGGCCGAGAAGCTGGGTGCAGTGGCTAGCAAGATGTGGCTCCTCGCAGTCAGAGGGCCTGGGATTGGAGGTCCTTTCTGGGCAGTTAAGGCGGAGAGGGGTGAGCCAGGTCAGAGGCTGCAGAGTGGAGATTTCTGCTCTGTCTCTGGAGAGGCTTGACCAGGAGGCACTCCTTGGGGCCTTGAGCTGCCGGGACACAACAGACATCACTGAAACTGCATTGTCCTTTAAGAAGGAGGCACCGGGTCTCGGAAGGTGCAATTTCAAGCAGATGCATCCTGTGAGATACAGGGTTACTTTGGCAAAGGGGAAGGTTCTCTGGCCAGCTCCCTAGGCACAGCCCTCACAGACATCACTGCAGAGCCTCAACATGGTGTCGGGGAGGGCAGTTCCAGGCACCCGGGGCACCTGCCCCGAGGCCGGGCAAGAACCAGCACCCTCAGCTCTGCTGGTTTCTTAGCCTGCAGGGTGTGGCCACAGTGGCACTTGGTCCTGTGCATCCTGCATTTGTCAAGGTTTATGCCTGTTAGCTCTTAATTTTATAAGTATTTCACAAAGATCAATAACTAGGAAGAAAAATCTTCTCCACTCACTTTTTTTTTTTTTTTTTTTTTTTTTAAGGTAAAATAGTATTTTGAAAAGAATATGGGCCTAAAGTCAGGGGAAAAAACAAGCTATGTAGACTAGTCCCTGCTACTACCTAAAATCTCAGGCAGTTAAATTCTTCTCTTTAAAGCTTCAATTTCTTCATCTAAAACATGAGGGAATGAATCCACCTTGTAATGTTGCTGTGAAGAACAAGATGTTACTATGTCAAGTGCTTTACACGAATTCTAGCTTGTAATGTTGCTGTGAAGAGCAATGTCAAGTGCTTTAAATAAGGGCCTGGAAAAGAACGGTAACAGTAAGAGTAGCTTAGTAAATGAATCTGCAGACTGAGATAATAATGCCACCTAACTCTTCATGTTATAAAAATTCCCAGAGTTAAGACATATGTAAACTGTTTGCTAGAGTACCTTCTCATTTTCAACTGTTAAGCAGTTATTCAAAAGAAAACAGAGTTTCAGTCATTTGGTTGTAGGGTACTACTACTTTATAATTACATGAAATCATACTTTAAGGTGTGATGATGGTTTTGCCCTCAGGGGCTTGCTGGTATTCTGCAGGAAGTTGTCTTTTTTCTTTTTTTTTTAATGGAGTCTTGCTTTGTCACCTAGGCTGGAGTGCAGTGGTGCAATCCTGGCTCACTGCAAACTCTGCCTCCCAGGTTAAAGTGATTCTAGCGCCTCAGCCTCCCAAGCAGCTGAGGTTATAGGCACTCGCCACTGCACCCAACTAATTTTTATATTTTAGTAGAGGTGGGGTTTCACCATGTTGGCCAGGCTGACCTCAGGCAATCCATCCACCTCGGCCTCCCAAAGTGCTGGGGTTACAGGCATAAGCCACCGTGCCCAGCCTCTTTTTTCTTTCTTTCTTTCTTTATTTCTTTCTTTATTTATTTATTTAAAGATGGGGTTTCACCATGATGGCCAGGCTGGTCTTGAACTCCTGACCTCAGGTGATCCACCCACCTTGGCCTCCCAAATGCCGGTGAGCCACCACACCCGGCCTCTTTTTTCTTTTTTTCAAATAGATATGTGTCTCGCTGTGTTGCCCAGGCTGATGTCGAACTCCTGGGCTCAAATGATCCTCTCACCTCAGCCACCCACTCCCCTCCCCTTGCCACAGCCTCTGCAGAAAATGTTTTAATCAGGAAGAAAATGAGGCTATCCACGGCCTCTCAAAGACTTATACCCTGAGAAGGGAGAGGCAGTAGTGCAAGGTCATTCTTCAGGGCTAAGCAAAGACAGTCTTGTTCCTGAATGTTATCTGATTCATGATTCAAGCCAAATGGACTATGAAACCAAAGGTGGATCCTGTCCAAATACCCACAGGTGACATGGTCCAGGTACAGCCAGATCCCAGGGAAAGGTGTCTGGAAAAGGGACACCACACTGAGTTCTCACACAGGAAGCTTCAGCAGCTGAGATGGGACAGAGAGGTGTTCAAGGGAAAGGCTGCCTGCAGAAGAGGAAGAGAAGCCTTGTGGGGGGTACCCTGATCTCCCAGACAACAGTTTCTGCTGTCACCTATTGTCACTCCCTGGCAGATTCCTGAGCCAGGTCCAATGAACTGTCCTTGCCTCTGCATCCATTCCTGGTGCCCCACTGCAATGCCATGCACACATTTTGAGACAGAGTCTCACTTTGTTGCCCAGGCTGGAGTGCAGTGATATGGTCCGGACTCACTGCAACCTCTGCCTCCTGGGTTCAAGTGATTTTCCTGCCTCAGCTTCCCAAGTAGCTGGGACTACAGAGGCCCACCACCACGCCCAGCTACTTTTTGTATTTTTAGTAGAGATGAGGTTTCATCAGTTTGGCCACGCTGGTCTTGAACGCCTGATCTCATGATTCACCCACCTCGGCCTTCCAAAGTGCTGGGATTATAGGCATGAGTCACCAAGCCCAGCCCTGTCTCTGATATTTTAAAACAGATTTTTAAAATTATCTAACTGTTCTCGTTAAGGTGGGAAGTTTTGTTTGATCCAGATTGGCATTCCAGAGCCAGAAGAAGAGATCTCAACTGTTTCTTTAGCATAATTCCTCACCTATAACAATGGTTAGCATAAAAATTAAGGTTTGGGGTACTGGCTTTGAAGTCATAAATTCCATCTCGGTGGGTTTAAAAAGTATAAGTTGGTTAAACTGGTTGGAAAGAGTAGAAAATTACAGTTCTCTGTTAAGATAAATTATCCTAATTCAATTAGTATAAGAAGCATTTGAGTGGTCACTGGAAACATATAGTATATCCCAGTGAACTTTCCAGTACTTTTTCTCCTAGTGAAGTGTACCTTTGGTTTATGGCAGCAAGAATTAGGGATGCTTCCCAGCCTCTGTCAGGCTCTGAGTCATCTTGCAATATGCTTGTAGGTCCCTAAGAAGACACTGTGTTTACCTCTCTGTTATGCCTCAGGTAATTCCATTCGATAAAAATATATAGAAATCATATCTAAAGATCTCATCTTACTTATCCAAAAGTTTCATAAATTATCCTTTTAAAGTACAAACATCCATAAAAACTGAGAAGATGGGCAGGGCATGGTGGTTCACACCTGTAATCCCAGAACTTTGGGAGGCTGAGGTGAGCGAATCATCTGAGGTCAGGAGTTTGAGACCAGCCTGGCCAACATGGCCAAACCCTCTGTCTCTACCAAAGATACAAAAAAATTAGCCAGGCATGGTGGTGCATGCCTCTAATCCCAACCACTTGGAAAACTGAGGTGGGAAAGAGAATTGCTTGACCCAGCAGATGGAGATTGCAGTGAGCAGAGATCATGCCACTGTACTCTAACCTGGGTGACAGAGTTGGACTCTGTCTCAAAAAAGAAAAAAAAAAAAAAAATGAGAAGATGAAAAAAAAAAACAGAACACACACAAATAATTTTGCGCAACAGAGTGGAGAGGAGATACAGCCAGCCACTTGTCAAATAACCATGAGTGTTGCAAGCTTGACCTTAGCAGGCGGTTCATGTCACATGGGGAAAAGAGCCTTCAAAGCACAAAGTTAGACCCATTCTGGCAAAGTATCAGAATGAACTAGTTAACCTGAAGGCCAGGCTGCATGCTGGACAAGAACAGCTGGGAAGGCTGAGGGTATCTACTGCAGGAACTCACATTTTGAAGTGCAAGTAGGTTTTATTACCAAGGTTGTGCATAGCCACCAGCAAAAGCATAGCTAAGGCTGCTTAGTGAGATGCCTTAGGAACTGAATGAGCAGAAATGAATCTGTGAGCCCAAGAGACCATCCTCTAAAAAGGCCATGGACTGGCTAGTATGATAATGCTTGGGCCTCCGAACACAAATGGAAGAATCAAGACCAGCCACTCAAGTCAGATTGCTTCAGCTAATAAAATAAGGGACGGTGACAGGAAGTCCATGGGATGGGGGTTGGTTCTCTCAACTCCTTGGAGAGACACTTAGAAGAAAAGAAATGGTTTCGGCAAGGCAATAATCACAAATCTGTTAGGACTAAACAGATTCTGTTTAGTAGATATAGTCTAACTTTAACCACCTTACATTACAGATGAACAGGCACCATGCTGAAAACTTTTCAGCTGCCAGTCCTCACATCAAACATTGGTTCTTCTGCAAAGACTTCCCTGCTTCCATTTGGTGACTCTCTCTCATTCTTTTCTTTTCCTTTTTTTTTTGCCCAGGCTGGAGTGCAGTGGCACAATATCGGCTCACTGCAAGCTCTGCCTCCCTGGTTCAAGCGATTCTCTTGCCTCAGCCTCCCCAGTAGCTGGGATACAGGTGCATGCCACCATGCCCTGCTAATTTCTGTATTTTTAGTAGAGATGGGTTTTCACCATGTTGGCCAGGCTGGTCTTGAACTCCTGACCTCAGATGATGTGCCCACCTCAGCCTCCCAAAGTGCTGGGATTACAAGTGTGAGCCACTGCACCTGGCCTCCTTCATTATTTTCTAATTACAAGACTGAACTCCATCATTTCAGGAGCTCAAGAAAACAAAAGGTCCTCAATAGCATTTGCTGAAGGGACATGAGAGAAGGGGCATCTGCAAAGTGCACTGAGTCTCCGTTGTCCTGAGCCCCAGTCCAGGCAATTCACCAGACTCCAACACCGGTTCACAAGTTTCAGAATACCCTGAAAAAAATAACTTACACATGATATGAAATAGAATAAGGCTGGGTGTGGTGGCTTATATCTGTAATCCCAGCATTTTTGGAGGTAGAGGCAGGCAGATCATCTGAGGTGAGGAGTTCCAGACCAGCCTGACCAACATGATGAAACCCCATCTCTACTAAATATACAAAGTTTTAGCTGGACGTCAAGAGAATCCCTTGAACCCAGGAGGCGGAGGTTACAGTGAGCCAAGATCATGCCATTGCACTCCAGCCTGGGCAACAGAGCAAAACTCCGACTCAAAAAAAAAAAGAAAAGAAAAAATAAATAGAGATAATAACATAATGAACCACCATGTTCCCATTACTAATGCACTATCATTTCCCGTACCTTCACTTACTTTCCTTGCCCCATATAAAACTACTTACAAATAAATCCCAGATATCCCATCATTCGCCCTAAATATTTTAGCCTGTATTTTCAAAAGATGACTTTAAAAATATAATCATAATACTACCATTTCTGAAAACTTTAAGAAGACTTAAAATATCAAATATCTCATCAGTATTGAAATTTACAAGTGTCCTAAAAACATTAGGTTTTTTCTTCTTTTTATCATTTGTTTGATTCAGAATCTAAACGTGATTATTTTCCTTGCAATTCATTATTGAAGAACTGGGTCGTTTATCCTGAGGTTTTACAAGAGCTAGATTATTTTGATTATGTCCCCATAGTGCTATTTAACACGTTCCCCTGTACTTTGTATTTCATGTAAATTAGAACAGGAGTCCCTCCTTATCCTCTGAGATACATTCCAAGACCCCCAGTGGCTGCCTGAAATCACGGTCAACAGCAAACCCTACATACCATAGAGTATGTTTTTACCTATATGTATATATCTATGATAAAGTTTATAAACTAGGCACAGTAAGAGATGAACAACAATAACTAATAATAAAATAGAACAATTACAACAATGTACTGTAATAAGAGTTACATGAATGTGGATGTAATAACCCAGACGGGTATTGAGTAACTAACGAGCAGGGGGCATGGACAGTGCCAATACACAAGGGGATGATCGCATCAGGGTGATGAAGCGGCTTCATTGTTTGGTGTAAATACCTGAGGTCCGCTGCCTCATGCCAAGGAAATCAAGGACCCAGAGGTACATGGAGTAAGGTTAAGAGCAGGGATTTTGTCTGGGCACAGTGGCTTACACCTGTTATCCCAGCACTTTGGGAGGCTGAGGCAGGCAGGTCATCTGAGGTCAACAGTTCAAGACCAGGCTGGCCAATATGGTGAAACTCTGTCTTCACTAAAAAAAAAAAAAAAAAAAAAAAAACAAAAAAAAAAACAGAGGTTTAATAGGCAAAAGAAAGAGAAAAGAGAATAGCTCTCAATAGCTCTCTCTCCTGCAAGAGGCCGGGCAGCCCAAGCAGAAATTCCAGGCCTTGAGGAAAGCAATGGATGTTATAGACAGGCTTGAGGAGGAGGTATCTGATTTACACAGGGCCCAAAGATTGGTTGGACTAGGTGTGATGTTTACATAACTCGCAAGAAAGCTGGCTACCCCACCCTAATTTTTTAGAGACAGAGTCTTGCTCTGTTACCCAGGCTGGAGTGCAGTGATTTCAGCCTCCCGAGTAGCTGGAATTACAGATGACTGCCACTACACCTGGTAATTCTTATCTTTAGTAGAGACAGGATTTCACTATGTTGGCCAAGCTGGTCTCGAACTACTGACCTCAGGTGACTCACCTGCCTCAGCCTCCCAAAGTGCTGGGATTACAGACGTGAGCCACCTCACCCCACCCACCCCACCCCACCCTAATCTTATACTGTAAATGAGGTCTTTGCTTGGCTGGGGCCATGTTGCCTGCTCCTTACTGTACATACATCTGGCAAAGAGAAGGGAAGATGGAGCCGCCATTTTGAACATGCCTAGTCCAGGTAGCCTTTTCCTATTGTCACAGCTGCTGGCAGTCACCCATGCAAGCTTCTAGCCTGCTTGTCTATGTCTGCGGCTGGATTTTACAGGCTGCTCTTTGTTAGAAAAGAAAATGACCTAGGGGCTGCTTTTCATTAAAAGGAAAATGTTACCAAGGACTCCCTTACCCTCCCTATCTGCCTAAATAATTTCTTCTTAACTCCTATATCAGCGGGACCCAGTGGGCCAGCATGAGATTTCACTGTGCTACTTAGAATGGCACGAAATTTAAAACTTAACAAAACTTTTTTTCCGGAATTTTTCATTTACTATTTTTAGAATGCGGTTGACTTGGGTAACTAAAATCAAGAAAAGCAAGATGGTGGGTAAGAGAGAGCACTGTAGGTGATCTCAGTGGTCTGGACACCTCTCAGGATCCCCCCAGAACTCCACATATCAAACCTGAATCTGATCAATCATAGGGGTTCAGTGGGGCTCCAAGAGATGTCTAGACCACTTTATAGTTGGTACTGAGTTTTTCTTAATTTCAAGGCACATAATGTGGGGAAATAGAGTTTTTTTCTGACGTCAGCAGCCACCACTAATCATGCCTACATCCATTTATCAGGGATGCAAAATGGTGATATTCTGTCTATTGATTCTTCCTCACTTAATAGCTGGAAATACTTTAGGAGAAATACCCCCTCAGATACCATGTGGCCACCAAAGCCCAATTTTAACACAGTTGTAACCAAGACAATGCTTTCTCTCCTACAGTCCTCTGCAGGTGGATCAACTTTAAGCAAACCTTTTTTTTTTTTTTTTTTTTTTTTTTTTTGAGACAGTTTTGCTGTTATCACCCAGGCAATGGTGCAATGGTTCAATCTTGGCCCATTGCAACCTTCACCTCCAGGGTTCAAGCAATTCTCCTGCCTCAGCCTCCTGTGTACCTGGGATTACAGGCACGTACCACCATGCCCAGCAAATTTATGTATTTTTAGTAGAGACAGGGTTTCAATATGTTGGCCAGGCTGTTCTCAAACTTCTGACCTCAGGTGATCCACCCGCCTTGGCCTCCCAGAGTGCTGGGGTTACAGGCCTGAGCCGCCATTTCTTCTTTATTTTCTAGCCAAGAACTGACTGGCAGAGGTGGGCCTGACAGCTGTGGGAAACACATTCTTGCCCGGTTCTCTCCCAGCCAGTTGGCTGAAGCAGAGGCCCTGCCTGCCCAGAGATTTTCTCAAAGAAGAACGGCTCCAGGGCCTGCTCTACAGGTCTGGCCTTTCTCTTTGAAAATGTTTTCTCCTGTAATTAAGGGATTTTCTAACTTGAGGAATAGATTAAAATTCATCAAAATTATATTTTCAGAAAGCCATAAACCTGAAGTTACTAAGGTCTGGCTCCAGGAAATCCTGAATCCAAGAAGAATGCTCAGCAGGACAGAATTGAAGACAACAGTTCATCATCTTTCCTTCCCAGGATCGAGAATATCCCAAGGAAATGCCAAGTAAAAAAGTAAAATCAGCGATTGATTTTGCGTTTGGAGAACTGACCAAGTTTCTTGATCAAATGCCGATTGCAAGTCTGAGTCAAGGTTGAGCATATATAAAGGAATCCTCCCGGGTACAACCCCTTGGGGTCTTCACAAGATGTGATTTTGAAAAACCAGACTCGGGCGATCAGAGACCTCACTGCGGAGGAAACGAAGGATGCCTCACTTCCAAAACCTGCCTCCTGCAAACACTCCCTCGGGTCCCTGCTGGCGCCAGGCTGGGACCGAGAGAGCTTCCTGTCCCGCTGACCACAGAGGTTAAACAGAATCTCCACTCCCGGATTGAGGAAAGAAAGGCGTCTTCCCCGATGATTTTCGCGAGGCTGCGGACCCTCGCAGCACCCCGACTGGACCCACCCCGCAGAGCTGTTGGGGCGGCAGGCGCCCAGGCCTTCCTGAATCCCTGGCCCCTCTGGTCTATCCTAGGCCCCCCAGTACTCAGGCCTGCGAAAATCCCGACCTCTGCCAGGCCCCTCCTCGCAGGCTTTGCGGTTTGCTAACTCGCGGTGCGGCCTTGGGACGGTGCCTCAGCTTCTCCAAGTGTAATGAAGTAGGGCTGGACCGTGATTCTCAGAATCACCCTTGAAGCTTTTCCAAAACCGCCTACCAGGGTGTCCCCACCGGATCGGAGAGGGGGTCGGGGGCGAAAAGCAGCAGGACGCTGACAGCCCGGGCTGGAACCCGGGACTCGGGCTCTCCCGCCTGTGCAGCGACTCCACCCGTCGGCCTGGCCCCGGAGCTCGCCTTCGGCCAGGGTGGGGTATTGCGCTGTCTCCGGGCCGGTTCCGGGAGGCCGGGCTGGGCTGCCCCACCGGAAAGACTCGTTTCAGCCGGAGCAGGCGGAGGCCGGGCGGAAACAGACTTGTAGCCCCTGCCTGGGGCCCTCCCCGCCCCCCACCCCGCCTTCCTCCTACCCCACCCCTGTGCAGCCCCGCCGGGTCGGGGAATCGCAGGCCTGCAGGTGGGGCAGCCACTGGTCACCCCGCCCACTCCTGCCCCGCCCACAGGATGCGCCCCCTAGGCCACACCTGAGCTCGCCCCGAGGTTCCCGGGCTGTGACTCCGCAGAGCCTCGGTGGGGGAGGGGAGAGACGAGAGAGAATAGGAAAGTGGGGTGCGATCTGAGTCGGGGACCTGTTGCCAAGAAGCTGGACCCTCAGACTCTGGCCGTCAGAAGCCGCAGTACAGCTGCCTCCCCTACCTCAGGTCGCCCAGCAGAGCTTTCTAGAGCTGGGGTGCTCAGAAGACCCTAGGCGGAGGCAAGAACCCTGGGCCATGGCTCTGTGGGTAAAGCCCTCGGGGAAGCCAGACTGCGCGCTCCAGCTCCCATCGCGGGCGTGGGCCCCGGGGTGGAGACGGTTGGATCACTGCCCTGCCATTCCCATGCTGCACGGCCTCGGCCCAATGCCACCACCTCTCAGGGCCGCCGTTTCAGGCTTCAGATGGGGTGGCACTGGATGGCAGCAGGCCCCAACCTTTGCCCCAAATCTCTAAGGAGGGGTCCAGCCTGGCTTGCCCAGATCCGGGCTGCTGCGTATGCGAAGAGCTGGGAGCTGCAAGAACCCGCCCCGGGCCCGGGGCGAGCGTCTGGGCCCTCGGGACGAGCGTCTGAGCCCCTCGGGGGCTCCAGCTGCGCCCCCACCGTGGGAGCCAGAGCAGGAGAGAGGCCGCCCCAGCCTTTTCTGGGCTGCAGCCCTGCGGACCGCCGGGACGGGCGCCACGTCCTCTCCAGGCCTCCAAGACGCAGACTAGAAGCCCATTGCTGCTGGGAAGATGGGCACCCCAGGTCTCCCCGCACGGCCTCCCCAGGTGAAACTTGGATGAGACACTCAGGCACCTTTTAGGCCCCCGGCGAAAACTGAAAGCCTGAACCCACCAAGGGCTCAGAAGCTCTGCGGGATTGAGTCATCAGAGGAATGCTGATCTGGAAGTACCAAGGCCAGAAGACACCCGCAAAAACCGCGGGCACTGGAAAGCAAGTGCAGCTTAATCTCCAGGCGTGGTTTAGATGGAAAGCAGCCTGGAGACCAGTTAAGAGACCGGCGAGCAGAGCGCACTGGACTGGCATCAGCAGACGTGAGTGCGAGACCGTCCTGCCCCTTAATCCTGTGTGACCTTGGACCGTTTATTTAGTCTCCGAGCCTCACTCACAGTGTTCTCATTCCTGAAAATACTCTGCCCCACCTCTGGGCTGCAGTGAGAACATAAGGAGACTATAAACATGACTTTTTGCCACTTTTGGAGCCCCACGCTGGGGAAAGATTTTCCTAGCACCTGGGAGATTTTCTTTACCACCAGCTGCCAAGATTGCTGGGAAGGAGACAGCCCCATCCCAGAAGGAAGACACCTTAAATTGGAACTTTATTTTTCCTCCTATAAAAAGACAATCTAATACTGGAGAAGTGTAAAAATTAAGGAGTCCTTAGAAGCCATTTGTTGTTTTAACTATTTTCTGAGACAGGATCTTACTCTGTCACCCAGGGTAGAGTGAGGTGGCACGATCATTGCTCATCGTGGCCTCCAACTCCTGGACTCAATCCTCCCTTCTCGGCCTCCCAAGTACCTGGGACTAGAAGTGCATCAGGCACGGTAGCACACATCTGTAGTCGTGATACTTTAGAGGCCAAGAAGGGAGTTCTCACTACTTTGCCCAGGCTGGCCTCCAACTCCTGGGATCAAGCCATCCTCCTGCCTCAGCCTCCCAAAGTGTTGGGATTATAGGTGTCAGCCACTGCTCCCAGCCTGTTGTTTTAACTATCTATCAAAGAAATAGATGGAGGTGGACGGGGATGCTGAGTGCTTTAGGTTAGACTTGAAAGAGTTAACAGCATAGGTTACAGAATCACACATACCCAAATTGGAATCTTGCCTCCACCCTTTACTATTATTGTTATGTTATGTTAGTGACTTAACCTCTCTGTGCTTCAGTTTCTTCGTCTGTAAAATGAAGAAAATGACATCAACCTGCGGGGTTATTGAGAAGACGAAATGCAATAGTGAGTGTAAAAGTGCCTGTGGTAATACACAATAAATGCTAGCTAGTTTTGGTTTCCATCCTTCTTTCCTACCAATTTGTATGGTTAAATATTTTTCAACATGCAGAAAAGTTGAAAGAATTGTACAGTGAACACCCACGCATGTTCCACCTAGCTTCTGCATTTACATGTTTACTCTATTTGCCTTATCGCATATCTGTTTATCTATCTTTCTTTCCCTCTAACCATATATCAATCCATCTGTTCTGGTTATAACTGTTATATAACAAATTCCTCAAAACTTAGTAACTTGAGAAAATAGCCATTTTTCTCATGTTCATGGATTCCAAGAGTTAGGAATTCAGACAGGTTGGCTTGTTGCTGCTCTAAGATGTCTGGGGTCTCAGCTGGGAAGACTTGATGCCTGTGGGCAGGAATCGTCCTGAGGCACCTTTCACGCTCATGTCTGAGAGTTGCCAGCATCGTGCCTGCATATGATCTCGTCATGACGCTCAGACTTCCTCCCAGCGTGGTAGCCTCAAGGTAGCTGAACTTCTGGCAAACGAGGCAAAAGTTGCATTGACTTTATAACCCAACCTTGCAAGTTACATAGCATTGCTTCCTATTGGTCAAAGCAGCCATAGATTCAAATGGCAGAATTAGACTCTACCTCTTGCTGATGATGTGCCAGGGTCATTTTGTAGATCTGGGGGACAGGAACTCTTGTGGCCATCTTTGGAGGTGCCACATTTGCCCCTTTGTTCACAATGCTTGTGCAATATATACAAAATCTCATTTCATGAAATCACCCATTGTCAGAGTCCAAGATTTCTTTTTATTGTTGTGGTGGTGTTTGGTTTTTAGAGACAGGGTCTTGCTCTGTTGCCTAGGTTGGAGTGCAGTGGTGCCATCATAGCTCATTTCAGCCTGCAACTCCTACTCCAGTGATCCTCCCATCCCAGTCTCCTGAATAGCTGGGACTATGCACATGCACCACCACACCCAACTAACTTTGTTTTCATTTTGCAGAGACAGGGGTCTCACTATGTTGCACAGGCTGGTTTTGAACACCTGGCCTCAAGCAACTTTCCCACCTTGGCCTCCCAAAGTGCTAGGGCTACAGATGTAAGCCATTGTAGATGTGAGCCAATAAACCTCTTCAAAATAAGCCTTTCTTGTCCAGGCACAGTGGCTCACACTTGAATCCTAGCATAGGTGGGCAGATCGCCTGAAGTTGAGCAACATGGTGAAACCCCGTCAATACTAAAAATACAAAAATTAGTGGGGTGTGGTGGCATGCACCTGTAATCCCAGCTACCTGGGAGGCTGAGGCAGGAGAATCACTTGAACCTAGCAGGCAGAGTTTGCAGTGAGCCAAGACTGTGCCACTGCACTCCAGCCTGGGCAACAGAGCAAGACTTTCTCAAAAAAAAAAAAAAAAAAAAAAGAAAAAGAAAAAGAAAAAAAAAACAAAGTAAGCCTTTCTCTCTTTTGGGTTCCCCATGAAGTTGCTGTGGGACAATGCCATTAAGATTCTTAGAAGTCGGCCAGGCATGGTGGCTCACGTTTGTAATCCCAGCACTGTGGGAGGCTGAGGTGAGTGGATCACCTGAGGTCAGGAGGTCAAGACCAATCTGGCCATTGTGGTGAAACCCTGTCTGTATTAAAAACACAAAAAATTAGCCAGGTATGGTGGCAGATGCTTGTAATCCCAGCTACTCAGGAGGCTGAGGCAGAAGAATCACTTGAATCCAGGAGGCGGAGACTGCAGTGAGCTGAGATCCCACCACTGCACTCTCCAGCCTGGGTGACAGAACAAAACATCATCTCAAAAAAAAAAAAAAAAAAAAAAAAAAAAGGTTCTTAAAAGTCCTATTGTTTAACACAGAGAATCTACAAAATGTGCTGTTTTCTTTTTTTTTTTTTTGAGACGTGTCTCACTCTGTCACCCAGATTGGAATGCAGTTGCACAATCCTGGCTCACTGCAACCTCAGCCTCCTGGGTTCAAGCGATTCTCCTGCCGCAGCCTCCCAAGGAGCTGGGATTACAGGCGCCCACCAACATGCTCAGCTAATTTTTGTATTTTTAGTAGAGACGGGGTTTCACCATGTTGGTCAGGCTAGTCTCGAACTCCTGACCTCAGGTGATCTACCTGCCTCAGCCTCGCAAAGTGCTGGGATTAGATGTGAGCCACTGCACCTAGTGCTGTTAATTTTCTTAAAAGGCTTTTTGTCTGGTTGAAGGGGTCTACGAGGCACCACCATAAAATTTTCTAATGTCTTAAAGAAGAATTTTACAGTGGGACACTTGGTTTCACCCTTACCCTAAGCTGCTTTCCTAACGGTGCCCTGGGTCTGATCTTCGCCCTTTTTCAAACTTCCACTGGGAGAAACCCGGAATAAGAAATAATTTTTTGTTTTGTTTTTTGAGACAGGGTCCCACTATGTCACCCAGGCTGGAATCATAGTTCACTGTAGCCTCAACCTTCTGGGCTTAAGTCATCCACCTGCCTCAGCCTCCTTATTATAAATAACATGTTTTTATTTTTATTTTTTATTATTTGTAGCTATGTTGCCCAAGCTGGTCTCAAATGCCTAGGCTCAAGCAATTCACCCACCTTGGCCAGCCCAGCAGGGTGAAGGGAATTGGTGAAATATGGTGTAGGATTCTGGAGCCCAGTAAGGAGGACACACTGGGAGGTGGCAGGGAGGGGGCTGGGTAGCTGCAGCCCAGCCCAGCCCAGGGCATTGCAACAAAAGCAGGGAGGGGGGGAGTCCGGTGTGAAAAAGTAGTCTCAGTGGGATGAGGTGGTGACTGCACGGAGTGGAGTGGG